CCCTGTTGCCATGGTGCCCGTGGGGCCGTTTCCGGGTGTCCCCGTTGCCATGGGGCCGTTTCCGGGTGTCCCCGTTGCCATGGGGCCGGTTCCGGGTGTCCCGGTTGCCATGGTGCCCGTGTGGCCATTTCCGGGTGTCCCGGTTGCCATGGTGACAGTTCCGGGTGTCCCGGTTGCCATGGCGACGGTTGCGGGTGTCCCGGTTGCCATGGTGACTGTGGGGGTGGTTCTGGGTGTCCCCGTTGCCATGGTGACGGTTCCGGGTGTCCCGGTTGCCATGGGGCCGTTTCCGGGTGTCCCCGTTGCCATGGGGCCGTTTCCGGGTGTCCCGGTTGCCATGGGGCCATTTCCGGGTGTCCCGGTTGCCATGGGGCCGTTTTCGGGTGTCCCGGTTGCCATGGGGCCGTTTCCGGGTGTCCCGGTTGCCATGGTGACGGTTCCGGGTGTCCCGGTTGCCATGGGGCCGTTTCCAGGTGTCCCCGTTGCCATGGTGACAGTTCCGGGTGTCCCGGTTGCCCTGGGGCCGTTTCCGGGTGTCCCGGTTGCCATGGTGCCCGTGGGGCCGGTTCCGGGTGTCCCCGTTGCCATGGTGCCCGTGGGGCCGTTTCCGGGTGTCCCGGTTGCCATGGGGCCGTTTCCGGGTGTCCCGGTTGCCATGGTGCCCGTGCCCGCAGGACCTGACGCTGAAGCTGTGCCTGATCCGCAGCCTGGCCATGCTGTGCCAGGCCGTGGCCCGCGGGAAGGGCCCCCCCGGCTTCGTCCTCGCCCGCAAGGCCGAGCTCGTCGCCCACATGGTGGTGAGGGAGGCCCGGGGGGCGCTGGGGGGGGGCACTGGGGGGCACTGGGAGGCACTGGGGGGCACTGGGAGGGTCCTGGGAGGGTCCTGGAGGGGTCTGAGAGGCCCTGGGGGGCACTAGGAGGGTCCTGGGGGGCACTGGGGGGCATTGGGAGGGTCCTGGAGGGGTCTAAGAGGCCCTGGGGGGCACTAGGAGGGTCCTGGGGGGCACTGGAGGGCACTGGGAGGGTCCTGGAGGGCACTGGCAGGCATTGCGAGGGTCCTGGGGGGCACTGGGAGGGCACTGGGAGGGTCCTGGAGGGCACTGGCAGGCATTGCGAGGGTCCTGGGGGGCACTGGGAGGGC